CGCGTGTGGACACAGCTTCATTAAACTAATACTGCAGCAGCCATTTCACAAAAGCATGATATTGTATTTTCAGAAGAGATGCTTGTAAATACAGAGAATAGCTCCTGGGAATGAAATACAGGAGTGTAAGGTGATACAGGATACCAGTTAATGGGCTCCAGCGGTTCTAGAAAAAAACAAGCCTGTAGCCCCTGGAGGAACAGCTGAGGAAGGCTGAGAAGTCCACATGTAAAATACAAAATTAAACTGTCCATATGCATTAGGAGCTAGGCAGTCTCTTACAGAATAGCTTTAAAAAAGGGGGGAGAAGGGACTACCAGAAAGGGAACTGGATTGTTGACAATTAAAATTAATGAAGTTGGGTGGGGCAAAAGGTTTATCATTTAAACAGTTGCTGGTGGATAACTTGCATATATCAGGTGGTGTGTAAAGGTGCAGGTGATGAAGTTCTGTAATTCTCTCAGACCTGGATTCCCACTGCTTTAAAAGGCACCTTGTTACCTCAGAACTGTTCACACGTCAGCTTTTCACAGATAAAGCAGCACACCTTTTCTATATTTAAGATGAAATTAAAGACTTGGTCATTTCACTATGTTTATATTTCACTTAGAAGCACAATTTAAGAAAAAATGATTTTTAAAAAAAGAAAACCAAAAAAAATCACATATGGATTAATCATTATGATGTCCAGTATAATGAAGTTATGTTATTACAAAAGTAGCTTAAGTAATTTTGCCTCTCCTTGTGGGGAGAAAGCTATAGCCATACATTGCACATTAATACCACAACATGCTACTGTGCAAACCGCTTCATGCTGCACCCTCTGCTGTTGCATATAGATTGAGTTTATGAGTTCCAAAATAAGTTAAGAAGTAGCCATAGAAGTAATATCTCTACGATATAAGTCCTTAGAAAGAGAGACTTCTATCTCTAGTCCTTGGAAAGAGGAATATAAGTCCCTCTTTCTAAGAGACAGGAAGATCACTCATGTGTATGTACGTTTTTAATGACTTAAAGGAGTTCTGCAGAATTAAACGTGAGTGCTCTTCCGGCAAAGAAGGAAGAGAAGCAGCCTGGTAAACACACAGAAAAAGTGCAAGTAGTAAGTGGCGGTGGAGACAAAGTTCAGTTACATAAAGCAGGCACAGAGTGTGCTTTGTGACTTACATTTTTCTGATGGCTGGTTTCTTACTGACGATTTAAGCTGAATAAACTAAAGTCTACGACAAAGCAAAGCAACTTATGAAAGAGACCTAAAATTAACATTATTTTTAGAATTAAAATTTATTTCATAATTTCATGAAATTGTAGACAGAAATGATCTATGGGGTTATATTTATTAGAGTTTGACAAAAAAAAATATCTTAGTCTTGAAATATTAAATAACCCTGAAATAGTAAGTAAAGGCTTGTCTGGTGTTGAAGTGTATAAAGAAGAGCAGCAAACTGAGTCACAGAGAACAGCAGTTTTTAATAACAAAATACTCCAGCCTGCAGTTGAAGTTGTCAGTGTTTTAGTGATTTATTCAGAAAATCAGCACATCTTTATGACAAGTGCTGTAATGAAATCATGAAAGATTGTCTAAAGTGAACTTGTCAGAACTGAAAGGTGATCAAATTTATCTATGATAGCATTGAGAGAAATGCATATTAGTGAAAGTAAGCTTGCCATATAACCTGATGTGATGTCAATATGCAGGAAAGTGATGTGGAAGGCATGAGGAAGAATCTGATAATAGTTTAAAAATGAAATAAGAAAAAAAAATGTGTGCTGGGCTCTTATCTGCACTCTGCTTTGGTTATCTCACTTTTCTAAAAAAAAATAAAAATCAGATATAGTTAAAAGTAGGGAATAAGTTATATTTAGAGAGAGTTCATGAGAAATACAGTAGAAATTATTAACCAGCCTTAAAAAAAAAATCTGGTTTTGTAAGGACATGAACATTCTCTGATTCTGACGGCTGAAAATTGTTGTTAAATCAAGGCGAAAGAGAAGATATAAAATAGCATGCTTTAGATCTCATTGATCACATGAAAGAACTAGGAATGTTTAATGGATCTAAAAGTTTGGATTTGGCTTGGCTCGGTTTGCTTTTTCTTCTCCACCGTATCAGAGACTGCACGCAGGCAAGAGCAAGGTGGCAGACAGAGGTTTGGAGCAATGGGGTGATCTCCTACAGCAGGCACCAAGCCCTTGGAGGACAAAGGTTATTGACTTGTAGAGCCGAAAAACTTGTTTCCTGCTTACTACTGTACCGTTTTCAAAGCTATCGGTATGTGTGGACATATATTATGAGAACAGCTGGAAACTACGGAGACAACTATTCTTCTAATTATTCTATGCAAGTCACTATATATATATATGACTATAACAAGTCACTTGACAGTACTTCATAGGAATAGAAATTGTGATCGTATTTGTATTTTGTAAACAAAAAAAGGGGGGGCAGCAAACGGCACAGGGCTGTAGTTGATCCTACAATTACCTGTCACTTAAAGATAAACTTATACAATTGCAAACAAGCTGCTAATACTTTTAAAACATATTGCCCAAGTCCTACAGGAAAAAAATACAAATTCCACGCTATGTTTTTTTTTTTCTTCTAGTTTGCTTCTTTCCTTAATTCAATTGAATTAATGTGAACGTGAATTAAAATGCACATTGCATATATTCAAGCATCAGATTAGCTTCTGGTGTGTGAAGAAATGAAGAAAAAAAAAGATTTTTTTAAATCATATTTTAATTAAGAATCAATCCAACCAGGAGGCCTGAATTGAGGAATGCATTTAACATTCTTTGGGCTTATGTTAAGGGATGGCATAACCTTTCTGGCAAGTTGAAGCAGCTGTGCACAGTTCAAAGTTTTCCCTATGTAGGGCCACGTTAGGAATCATTTACCCACATATCATGCACCTGTCAAAAGGATATAAAGTGTCCAGAGATAAAGATGTGCTGAGCAATTAGACATTGTCCTTTCCAGCCACTGAACCAGTATTTAAACATATTTTTGTCTTTCCGTAACCTCTGCCAGATAGAGTGCCAGAAAGGTGAATTAGATACCTGCATTTCAGATATTCTTTATCAAAACAACAATCCCACAATTAAATTTCTAATGTATAGCTACAATTAAAAAAAAAAAAGAAAAATCTATAAAGTTGGACTAGTTGGACTATGTACTTCTTCAGCTATCAGAGTATAACTTCTGACTCTGTGATCTGGGTGAATTTATCAGTAAATACCCTTCCCTATAACTCCTCTAATTTTCCTGGTAATTAGTGCAGTTAGTAGTATTAGCTTTTGGAAGGTCTCCACTCCCACAATACTGTCCTTTGAACTCATAGCTCTAAGGGCAAGTACCTGTTCAATAGAAATGATCAAATACTTTGGCCAGCATTACACCTCCAGGATGTATCCCTCTGCACAAGGAAAATCTCCTTACAGAGTATAGGGAGGAAAATTTGGAAAGAACTGTAATGTAACTGTAAATCCTCTGTTAAAGAAAAAAAAATCTTTATCTAAAACCTCTCACCAGTTTGGGGAAGAAAAAAATCTCACACAAATGGCCAGTAGATATTTCAAGAACGAAGTTTAGCTGATGCTAAATGCAAATGCACTCACATCAACTTACTTTTCATCCTTCCCATTCTGGAGTCTGACTGCTGCCTTTCAGGTTCAGAGCTTGTGTCAGAAAAGAGCAGTTTTACTTGCCCAAGTTTATAAACGAAGACCCCAAACTTTCACGCATCTGCAAAGTAGCACACTTACTTTTGCTTGCCCTCTTATTTCATGCAACCACTGCCCATCAGCACAGGGCTCCTTTCCCTCTGATTTTGAAGCCCCGAATGCTGTGACCGTATGACATCTGTGCCACCTAGCGGTGTGATACCGAATGCTGTAGTTAAGGCAGATAAAAAAAAAACTGACTTTCTTGGACCTATCCACAGGCAAAGAGATTTTGAGTGCATTATTAAAAGCATCATCAATAAGCACTAGCAAAATTGTAGATATGTATAAGTTTTAAACTCCAGAGGGATTGGTCTTCTGTCAGCCAGTGGTACATGAAATCTTTTACTGATGGACATCAGGTGGCAATTGCAGCAGAATAGAGGCTAAGTTAAAATGCCAGATGGTAACAAAACTCAAAGCAAATGTATGTCAATAAAAGAAAAAAAAACATAAAAATAAGTTTGATATATATATAGGAATACTTTTAAAGTACCTCAGCTCCAGGTTTGGCTGGACAGAAAAAATCATCTCAGTAATAAGTATTTGTCAAAAAGAAATCTGCAGTGGTAGAAGTCATTAGAAAAGTAAATAGAATAAAACTCCTATCACTATATCACTGGGTAAATTAATGATTTTCCCATTTAAAATTCTGTGAGAAAGTTTTGTTACTCTTAAAACTAGGCAAAAGTACAGAGAGAAAGAAGAGAGCCAATTGCTGATTTGACACTCACTGATTTGAGAGAGCCTGTGCATGTAGACTTGACAGTTTGAGGGTGGGTGCCTCGAGAGTTTACAAAGTCCTGATGAAAACAGGAGTCGGGAACAGGAAGAGCCACTCATGGCCCCCTCTTGTGACAGAAGAGCCGGAGACCACCTCAGTCACGTGGCAACATAGTCTGCCCATCAAGCCACAGATTTAAAACAAACAGGAGAAAAAAAAAAAAAAAAAAAAGAAAAAGTTTTTTCCTTCCCTGGTTCTTACACTTTTTCCTGAGCCTGTTGTTGACTACTGACAAGTTTTAGCAAGCCACAACTTATCTACCACATGAGTACAGAATATGTTACTGTTATATCAGAGCAGAGACCGCATCCACAGCCATCGTGGTCCTCCCGTCATCACGCTCAGCGACGGTAATGGCATCCTACATCACCCAAGAATTTTCAGTGCTCCTGTGCCTTTTGGCAGCTATTAGTTATTCATCATTATGCCCATAAAACAAAGTACTTCAGAAAATATTTTATGTGAAAGCTTGGTGAAGTATAGAGGAGGCTCAGGGAGGAGACCTAAGCAGACTGAGGAGCAGTCTCACCTCTTTGCACCTTCCCCAAAGAGGGATTTCTGCATATATTTTTTGCACCTTCCCCAAAGAGGGATTTCTGCATATATTTTTAAACAATTTTTTTATATAGCTTTGGAGCACATTCAAACTCTGACTTCTGTCAGGCAGATTACCAACCTCACACTGCTCTGCTCCAAAACAAATTGTCAAGTTTTTCACCAGACTTGGAGGGCTTCATACACACTACTTCTACTAAAAATGACTTAAGAAGGTTGTTTACATTTGGCTTCAGTTTATTTAAATGCTTGGCTGCCTCCCTGCCTGCAATCTTGGCTAGGCCAGACCTGATTCATTCCAGGAATCAAGGCCAAGGCCAAAATCAGACTTTAAAAAGCCTGCAATATTGCTAGTAGATATTTACTGTACCAGATAAGAGAATTAATGATTTATTTCCACTCACCTTAAAGAGTCTGAAGAAAATGGCATCTTCCATAGAAAATTCTTTCCAAGAGCTTTCAAAGGACTTCCTAAAATTCAGAGCATAGCATAAGTCTTGCTAAAAAGGAAAGCAGCTATTCGAGCTGCTCAGCGTAATAAACTCACCTGATGTGATGCTCCTGGGTGATATTGGAAGGACAGCAATTGATATCAAAGGAACTGGACTGCTCCTTGCTTACAGCAGTATTTACAAAAATCAGCCATAAACCAGGGGATGGCCCAATTACCATTCTTTTCTTAGATTAAAATAAATAAATAAATAAATATCTCTGAAGGAGATACTTCTGTTTAGTCTTATTTTCTTTTTTGTACAATAAATTAGAAGTGATGGATAAATAGTCATTTAATCCAACCACCTCAAATGCCTTAATATCTTGACTATTTCAGCCTCTTTTATGCGTATTTAAGTAGAACCAATATGTTGGCTCATGTAGGAGAACAGAATACTCCAGTGCAGGAGTCATTCCAATCAACTAAAACCTGTGAGCTGGGGGGTCATTTTCTTTCTCCTCAAAACATGCAGCAACAAGCATAGAGCTAAGGGTATTTCAACCTTGGAAAGTCCAGCAATGGCAGCTGTCAGCAAAATGTATTTCTAAACTAGAGAATAGACAGCTCTGGACTTGTTCCTAGAGACCAGTTTACTTCTTGGATTATAATCAGGGTTTCAGTTTCTAACCATACAATTGCTAGACCTTTGCGATAGCAACCACATATTGATTGAGCAGATCTCTGCTGTGGAGTCAGACATCGCTCTGCTGGCAGCATAGGATTTGAGGTGCACAATGAAGCAATGAGTACAGCTCTAAATCTTTGCAAGAAAGAAAAACAACAGACAAAATTTGAATGTTAAGAAATTTCACAGGCAGTAGTTGAAGTTGTATCTTTTAACCCTGAGGAGAGTGAACTTTCCTATCTATAACAAAGGTCAATTTACAGCAGATTCATCTAATTTTTTGCTCTTTCCCAAAATAAACTCATGACCATTGATCCAAGATTCCTGGCTTGGCCAGCCTCTTCTTTTGCTGTAACTTTCCATTGCAAATCTAAATCTCTATTTTGAAACGTA